GCTCCTGAAGGACTGCACCCCGTGGGAAGGACCCACGCTGGAGCAGTTCGTGAAGGACTGCACCCCGTGGGAAGGACCCACGCTGGAGCAGTTCGTGAAGGACTGCACCCCGTGGGAAGGACCCACGCTGGAGCAGTTCGTGAAGGACTGCACCCCGTGGAAGGGACCCACGCTGGAGCAGCTCCTGAAGGACTGCACCCCGTGGAAGAGACCCACGCTGGAGCAGTTCATGGAGGACTGCAGGCCGTGGGAAGGACCCACGCTGGAGCAGTTCCTGAAGGACTGCACCCCGTGGAAGGGACCCACGCTGGAGCAGTTCATGGAGGACTGCACCCCGTGGGAAGGACTCACGTTGGAGCAGTTCATGGAGGACTGCAGGCCATGGGAAGGACTCACGTTGGAGCAGGTCATGAAGGACTGCACCCCGTGGGAAGAACTCACGTTGGAGAAGTTCGTGGAGGACTGCACCCCGTGGGAAGGACCCACGCTGGAGCAGGGGAAGAGCGTGAGGAGTCCTCCCCCTGAGGAGGAAGGAGCGGCAGAGACAACGTGTGACGACCTGACCGAAAACCCCGTTCCCCGTCCCCCTGCGACGCCGGGGGGGGAGGAGGTGGAGAAAATGGGGAGTGAAGTTGAGCCCGGGAAGACGGGAGGGGTGCGGGGAAGGGGTTTTAAGATTTGGTTTTATTTCTCATTATCCTACTCTGATTTGATTGGCAATAAATTAAACTAATTTCCCGAAGCCGAGTCTCTTTTGCCCGTATCGGTAATCGGTGAGCGAGATCCCTGTCCTCACCTCGACCCACGAGCCTTTCGTCGTACTTTCTCTCCCCGGTCCAGCTGAGGAGGGGGAGTGATAGAGCGGCTTTGGCGGGCACCCCTTCGAGTGCTCGGAGCCACAAGACCCGTCCGTAAGTCCAGACCTCGCGGCTCGTCGCCATTTCCAGGTCGTTTGTGTGTCCCTGGAAGAGCCCCGTCTCCACAGACGCCTCCGCTCTCTGCTGTGATACGCAGCTCTCTATCCCTACCCTGCGTCTCCCACCTTTCGGGCTGGTTATCAATCCAAAGGAGGACGCTCCCTCCTGCTCCGCAGCGCATTGCTTTCCTTCTTGAAGGCTTTTAAGGAAGCTTGTCGGAAGCGTTTTGGCGTTCCTGGCACAGCACGCCGGCCAGGCTGCCCTGCCCTTCGGCTCACCGACCCCCTCCGGCTGCGAGACACAACTCTTCCCAGTTACTGACGTTTACCCCCAGGTCTCCTCAGTCTAGTCCTGGCTACCGCTGTCTTGATACGAAATTGGCGTTTGGATCTTCCTGGAGGCCTTTTACAAACCTGCGCCGCACGCGGCAGCGCTCTTTGGAGCGGGTCCCCAGGCGGAGAGCAGCAGGGACCGAGGGAGGCTGCCGGGGGGGCATCCCCGGGTCCCCCAGACAGGGGGAAAGCTGTCCCAGCAGCTGGTGACAGTCCCTTCACACCGCAGAGGGGCACGGCTGTGTTCGAGCGGAGCCTGAAGACCCCACAGGGTCGGGTCCCTGCCGCGCCAGCTGCTGCCCGGATGGGCTCACCCTCTGGATTCCCGGCTTTTCTGGTAGCACCCAATATCCTGACCCTGTATCCCCCTTCTCCTCCCTCCCGGGAGCCGGGGAAGAAGTACAAATCCCGGGACACCACATTCCTCCAGCAAAGCTGTGTAGCTGCCCATTTCCCTCTCCCGCCAGGACCGATCCCAACTGACGGCAGAGGAATTCACGGAGCAGCTCTGCTCCAGGGGCTGCAGGAGCCTGTTCGGGCTCTGCCAGCCCCCGACAGACACGCAAGCGTCCTGGACCGTCACCGCCACAGGCAAAACCACATGAAAAAGACAGACCCAAAGGCAACGCAGCCCAGGGACGTTGGGCAAGCGACTACCAAACGTCCAGCAGAAGGGCAGAGCTGCAGGGGAGGAGGTGCCGGCTGGGCAGGCAGGACGTCCCCAGGCTCACGGCACAGCAGGCAGCTGCCCGCAGAGGAGCGCAGAGCCCCGGCACGGCACCCACGGCTCCATGCGGGGCAGGTCACGCGCCCGTAGGCCCAGGCGGGGAGGCAGAGGAACAGGAGGTGTGCTCATGCTGGCTCCGAGAACGCGACGATCAGAGGTGCTCACCTGATATCGTCCGTGGGGTAGTTGGACTCCTTCAAGAGGATACTGAGCGTGGCTTGCTGGCGAGCCAGGGCCACGGCACACTGCGAGGCCACCTCCTCGTCTCCGTACTCGATGGCCTGGGCGAGGTGGAGCGCCAGGTCCTCTGCGGCGGGGCGGAGAGGGAGAACCGTAAAGCGGCAGCCAGTCTGTAACACCCTCCCCGGGGCACAGCACAACCACTGCCACCCCCGGCGCCGGCAAGGCCAGCACCCACAGGGGCCCGACTCCGCGCACGCCACAGCCTCCCGTCTAGAAAGAGCAATTCTGGTTTAGATCAGCACGGAAACAGCGCTGAAGGGCGGCAGGAGCTCTGTAAAAGGCTCCTCGGAAGCACGCTTGCTCTACAGCCTCCCGAGGCAGGAGGAGCAGCCGCGCTGCCGGAGAGGTGCGGCTGAGAGCACCAAGGGGAATTTCTGGGGCCGCCGGGAACTTAGTTCTGTCCCTCCCTGCACAGCTCGGCTGACCCGACCGCCCACAGCCACCTCCCGGGACGTACGGCCCCCGGCCCCGCCTCGGGGGGAGGCTTCTGCCCCGCAGGACCGGAGTTCCACAGGTGCCCAGGAAGGTCCAGAGCACCCTGGCCTGTATCAGAAATGGTGTGGCCAGCAGGAGTAGGGAAGTGATGGTGCCCCTGTACTCGGCCCTGGTGAGGCCGCACCTCGAATACTGTGTTCAGTTTTGGGCCCCTCACTACAAGAAGGACGTAGAGGTGCTGGAGCGTGTCCAGAGAAGGGCAACGAGGCTGGTGAGGGGTCTGGAGAA